GTATTAAATTTTTTAGGAATAGCCAATATTTGTGGGAGACTTCACCAATGGATTATTAATGTCTAACCTGATCTAGCTGAGAGCCAAGCCAAAACGAGTCATCAAGAGCGGAGACCAAGTTAAGACTGGATTACCGGTAGGAGGGGGCGTGACAAGTTTTGGATACTTGGTCTCAAGAGCAGGCAGACTAAGGAAACCCGTTGGTGGAGTCTCCGTCTCCTGTACTGGAGAATCTCTGTGATCTATCCCCAAGCAGCTGAAACAATTTATTGATGGCTCAGTTGAAGCTCACAGGATACAGTTTCCAAGAAAAAAACAATGGAGCAGAGCTTCTATGAAGCTGAAAAAACGCAACTTAATATGCAACTGTTTCTCATACTGGGAGGGTAGAAATGGAGAGAGTGGTATATTATCATCATCATCATCATGATAGATTTAATATTCAATTTGATTCACATTCTGGGACTAATAAAAACTTAACAGTTCAAGTCCTAACCAAGGACGTAACAGCTATTAAGGTAGTGTTTTAGTATATAGGCAGTTCCAAATAGGGTGGTGGTATTATTATTATTATTACACTATTCAAGGGATAACATAGTACCAAGGATCAGGAAAAATAATTACATATTGTGTTTTTTTAAAAAGAAATCTGAGTTCCATTCACAAATCAATGATCATGATAATGATGAATTTATAAGCCTCCCTGTTCACGAGTGACTATGAATATTTCCACTGAAACTCAGTGTTATATTTAGACTAGGTTACTATGGCTTATTTAAATCGCCATGACCAAAGTACTGGTTTGACCTGATATGAAAATGTTAAGCAAAGTGAAATTCAATGAAGACAGCTAGAAAGGCTGAAAATGTAACATTAGGAGCCCACACAGAGAAGGCATATTACACTCCCTTCCTCAACTTTTCTAACATTAGAAAAAAGACATGCAGTATATGCCATTTGCTCTACTAGCACACTCCATTTCAGAGAAGTTGTAAGGATGAAACCAAGTATATTGGGATTAGAGGGGAAAAAATCCATTTTCACTGAACTCCTTCAGCAGATCTGTAATAACTCTTACAGCCAAATTATACATATTTTATAACAGTGTGCACGTGTGATGGCATAATCTAAAATATGCCACATAACATATCTGAACAGCTCAGGCAGAATTTTCAAAATTATCTAATCTCACTTCAACCAGAAGGCTTTTCAAAGTTCACAATTTAGCCCAAAGTCTCCAAGAGTATTCATGGATATACTTCACAAAGCACAAAATGCACTAAACATGATTGAAAAATTATGATTTCTTTTTTATTGTGCCTGTATTAGAATATTACTATTCTAATAACTGGTTTCTCAAAAATTAAAGAAGCCTTTCAACATCAGCAGAATGTTTATCTTCCTCTTTTAAGTTTTTAAAATGCAACAAATTGTTAACTGAAAGATCAAAAATCTGCTAACTGCTTAGCATTTTATACACCACATTCTGAAAGCAGCTTACATTTTACTGAGCCCTTTGAAAGATTATTAGAAGGCTGCCATCCACTGACTCATTCAAGTACTGCAACTAAGGTGCACAATTGCCTCATCTGTTGTAAAATTACTTCCAGTGCAACATAAAAACTGTTTCCAGGTTTACAAAATGCTAACCCTTCAAATGCCAAACACTTTTCACACAGGGGAAATACAATGCAAAGAAACGTGAAACAGTATTTTGAGAAAGGACTCACATCAGAATTCAACATACGCATTTTCGACAATGAAAATTCTATAGGGACATATAAAAAAAAATAAAACATTGAAATTGTAAAAGTGTCTGTGCTGCTGGATTAGATTCAATTGTTTAACTTGCTGCAATCAGAGGAGAAAATATCCCCAAATATGAAGACCCACCTTAATCAACAGCATTGAAAGCTTATCTTATTTATTTGTTCCTTTAGCAAATACATCAATTGCAGATGTATACAAGAAAAACAGCACACACCGGATTTTTATAATGAAAAATAAAATTAGGTGAATAATAAGAAAACCACTAAAGCCAAAATACAAAACACAGCACTCTTCTATTGCCCCTTAGGCAGGGGTGTCAAACTGTCAGCCCGTGGGGCCGGACACGTCATCCAGAAGCCGTGCCTACCCTATTGCCGGCAATGGCAAAACCGTCCCGATATGTTGCGTAACGTCACGTGACATCGCAAGTTTGACACATCGTAACATCACAAGTGTGTATCTATCTGCCTATCTAGAACAAGTATTTAAAAGCTGGGTTTAAAATCCACAGAATTTCAGCTGAATAGAATGGAGATAACGAACAATGTCTTGTGATGACTCTACTCTAAAAATCGGATAGCTCTATGATCTAGCTCAGGGGTGTCAAACTGCCATGTCACAAGGAAACTGCGCCCACCCCATTGCTGGCAATGGGGAAAAAGTTCCGGTACGTCACGCAACATCACGAGTTTGACATGTCTGATCTAGCTGATTAACCAAAATCATGATATACATAATGTTACTTATTTATGTAAGAGACTTACATGGCCAGTAATCTTATGTATTATAACTCTGGGTAGCTCATAGCAACTGCACTAAGAACATAAAGAAACAGCAAAGATAAACAAGCTCAATTCAAAGCATCCTAAATCAGCCAACATTTTAAAAAAATATCAGTCACTGATCTCACTGTCCCAATGTAAACCTCCTTATAAAACAAAAGTACAGATGTGAAAAAGCAGTAATATAAGTTTACATTTTTATTGCTACCAAAAATTAAGTTTTGTTATTTATTGCCTCCTTCACTCCCTCTCTCCCACTTCCTCTGTGGTATTTGAGATAAAACTACCTGTCTCTTGATTGCTATAGTTCCCTGTCATCCTTCAAATTATTCGGCTGTTTTCAGGTATGGCAAAGGATGATGTCCAATCATTTTGTTAGAAATAGAAATCTAGTCCTTTTCTGAATCTTTTGACATGCAGAATGTTAAGACAGAGATAAAGTGACTATAACACATTTAAGAAATTGATGTATGTAAAGCACTTCTACAATACTTTTCAATAAAAACTCATAGGATAGCTTATAACAATAATGCAATTCCAAATACATGAAATAGCAAAAATAGGATTAAAACAAGTGTTCACCAGGACAGATGCAACTGTAATTGAAACCAGTGTACAGAATGAAATAAAAAGACTGTTTGTCCTGTACTGAAATGACATCAAATCTGATCTATTTTCCCGGAAAAGAGAATCCACAGATACAGTGCCTCAGACAAAAAAGCCCTCTTTTATGTCACAAAAAGTCTCTAGTGATGACCGCAAACTCTAATGGCAGTATTTCCTTCAAATTGAGTATTTCTGTATAAGGGTATTAAATGTAAGCACACATAGTGCCCCAAATTACAATCCACAATCGCTATTTTGAAATCTTTCAGCTGCAATCCTAGCAGCTAACTCCCTAATCAGGCAGTAGAAGAAAGCAAGACATACACAAAAGCTTCAACATTTCACTTCGTTTGTTAAGAATCCTTCTTGTTTTGCACCTTTCAGTTTGAAACAAGTAAGGCTTAGCTCATCATAAAATAAAACACCCTCAGAATATTGTGAAACAATTAAACAACTCGCCAAGCTTCCAGATCCTATCACTTGAGTGAATTAAGAGTTTTGTTATGTAAGTGGCACATTTTTAAGACTACAAATATTCTCTCATTTTTGATGTGTCAGATATAGGTTAGAAGAAAATGACTTTTTGAAAGGAAAAAAAAAGGCTGCATATTAAATGAGACATAAAAAGGGGAACTTTTTTGATGGACACTCAAGGTGATATTGTGCTTAGGAGTCTGGATTAGAGTAGAGAAGACCATGGTTCAAATTTTCATTTGGCCATGGTGCTCAAAGTAACAGGAAATCATCTTTTGCCCAAACTACCTCTGAGGATTATATGAAGATAACCTCTTTGTGAGCAAGCTATGAACTAAATAAAACAAAAACTGAGCATGGAAACTCACTGGTTGCAATATCCCCTTGAAGGTGAAGAATCTGTGGGACAGGCATTGTGAGAATAACTGTATCAAAGTGGTCAAAAGATCCTGTACTGGTGTCCACTTCCCATTTTCCATCTTTGAGGCAGATCTGAGTAACATGGTGATTGTAGAAGACATCTGCGTCTGCTGAGAAAGAAAGAGAGAAGCTAACAGATGCTACAATCCCTTTGGAGTTAGGCAGCTAATAAATTTAAATTAAATAACTAAATAAAAAATTAAATAAATATAATCGGCGACGCAGGGGAAAAGGGACAAAATCTGGGAGCTGAAACAATTGTATCAAGATATTTCGTCATTCATACCAACATGAGGATGAATGTGAAGTTTCACTTTTTAATCACCCACACCTACACCCAAGCTGGGGCACCTGCAAGACTGGCTGTCTCTGTGTGTGTGTGTGGTGGAATAATTAATGCCAAGATGGAGGTTGCAACTGCGATCAAAATTCCTCCCTTTTTATTTTAATATGTATTACGCATGTACCAAAAAGTAATGGAGTTTTGATCACTCTATTACTGCTTCTATTTTGACTTTTTAACACTGGCTCTGGTGAAAGCCCCCCAAGCATTTTCAGTGAATTTTATTATTCAAAAACAGAAAAATCAACAATACATCTGAATCAACAATACATCAACAATACATCTGAAGCTCACCTGCCTTATTTAAGTAATGTTTAACAATGGCTGAAATTCCTTTGGGTGTTACAAAGTTATCTACTCCTTCCTTCACCACCATTCCTTTTACTGGGACAGTCAATGGCTTCAGGACTCCATGAGAAAACAAATCTTCATAAAAGCTAAAAAGAGAGTTAATGTCAGAATCCAATTATATTTCATTTCTATCTATCTCCTCTGAGCTAAAATCAAATCTCACCTTTCCCTGGACTCTGCCATACTTTCAAGGAGGAGGGGGGATGGGGTGTTGTCTTACCTGAACGCCTTTTCTCAGCACGGAGATGGAGGATCCACAGAATGGGTTTAGACTGTATTCCTACCCAATCAGATCAAGTCAGTCAGAGTTGCCACGCCCCGTCCAGGAGTACAGATCCCAGTCTTGACGCGAGCGAAGCCACTGACTGACACAAGACGTACTGGCTCATAAAACTAAACTGTCCTAGTCGTTAAACGACCCAAAGAAAAAGAGGCAGGGGGTGGATCCTCCATCTCCGTGCTGAGAAAAGGCGTTCAGGTAAGACAACGCCCCTTCTCCAGCACTGGAGATGGAGGATCCACAGAATGGGACATACCAAAGCCTACTGTCCCTTAGGGTGGGAAGCAGACCGGTCCGGTGTGGCACGCTGATGAACTACCTGTTGGAGTACCCTCCTATCAAAGGAGGCCTCCGCCGAGGCAAATTTATCGATTTTATAGTGCCGAATAAATGGAAAAGGCGATGACCAAGTGGCCGCTCTGCAGACGTCTTCAATGGACGCCTGAGTGGCCCAGGCCGCAGACGTAGCAGCACTCCGAGTGGAGTGAGCTGTGACCCGTCGTGGAACCGGTAAGGATTCAGCCTGATATTCCCCGGAGATGCACGTCCTAATCCACCTGCTAATTGTGGACGAGGAGACCTTTCGACCCCTGGAGGAGGGATGGAAGGATACAAACAGGGCCTCTGATTTGCGGAAATCCGCTGTCCGTGAAATATAATAACAGAGCGCCCTGCGGACATCCAAGCAATGCCATTGCCTTTCCAGGGTACACGATGGGTCAGGACAAAAATCCGGGAGCACAATATCCTGGGACCTATGGAACAGTGAATTTACCTTTGGTATGAAAGTGGGGTCCAGGCGAAGGGTCACCCTATCCGAGTGGAAAATGCATAGGTCCTTGCGGACTGAGAGTGCGGCCAGCTCGGAGATACGCCGAGCCGACGTGATAGCCACTAAGAATGCCACCTTGTGAGACACGTGGCGAAGGTCGCATGAACCTAGGGGTTCGAAGGGTGACTTCGTCAGGGCCAGAAGGACCCGTGGCAGATCCCAGGAAGGGAACCTATGTACTGTAGGTGGTCTGGTGTTAGCTGCACCCTTAAGGAATGATCGAAGCATGGGATGATGCCCTAACGATCCCCCCGAGTCATAAGTGAGGTCATTGGCAAGAGCAGCTGTTTGTCTGCGTAATGTGTTCAGGGCTAATCCCCTCTCCAGACCCTCCAACAGATATTCCAAAATATGGGGAATAGTGAGTTGTGAGATTGACAAGTTGTGCCCGAGGCACCAGGAGCGGAAGTTCTTCCACGTAGCCTCGTAAATACGATTCGTGGAGGGACGACGGGATGCTTGGATTATATCAATGACCCCTGGTGAACAAAACTGTTGGGACAAGCAAGAGCGCTCAACTGCCAAATGGCTAGCTGGAGCCATTGGGGATCCGGGTGAAGAATGGACCCCTGGCTGAGCGAGACTCTGTCCGGGGGAATTCGCCATGGGTCTGTGATGGAGAGGCTCATCAGATCGGCAAACCAGGGTCTCCTTGGCCAATAAGGAGCTACTAGGAGTACCTCCGCACCCTCCCGGAGAATTTTGCGTACCACCGCCGGAAGGAGGGGGAGAGGCGGGAAGGCATAAAGCAGGCCCTGAGGCCATGGGGTCCGAAGTGCATCTGTTTGTTCCGCCCCCTGGGATGGGAATCGGGAGAAGAACCGTTGCAGGTGGGTGTTGACTGGGGACGCAAAGAGGTCCACCAGCGGCAGGCCGAAGCGGTGGCAAATTTCCTTGAATACCCTCGTGTGAAGGCGCCATTCTGAGTGATCCACTGTCGCTCTGCTCAATAAGTTGGCCTGAGTGTTCTCCTTCCCCGAGATATGGTCGGCTTTGATGGAAGCCAAACTGCGTTCTGCCCAGGATCCCAGTAATAGTGACTCTGTGAGCAGAGTTCGGGATCGGGTGCCCCCGTCTGTTCACATGAGCCTTGGCAGTCACGTTGTCCATGAGGACTAGCACGTGTCGCCTTCGTACCAAGCTGTGAAAATGCCGAAGAGCTAAATGTATGGCCCGTAGCTCCAGCCAGTTTATGTCGTGTCGAAGGTCCGAGTGGGACCAACGGCCCTATGTCCACTGAGATCGAAGGTGCGCATCCCAGCCAAACAGGCTGGCGTCGGTTGTCAGCAGAATTTGATCCGATTCCTTGAACAACGACCCTTTGAGGATGGCTGGAGACAGCCACCACGTGAGGGATCGCGATACCTGAAGTGGGAGTCTCACTCTTTGATGGGAGGCACTGAGGTTCCGCCTCTGAAAAGGAAGTAGGAACCACTGCAGCTCCCTGGAATGGAGTCTGGACCAAGGGACAATTGCTATGGCCGATACCGTCTGCCCTAACAATTTGGATAGGCTGAGTAAAGATACTGTCTGTCCCCTGCGTACTTGGAGGACAGATTCTCTCAGGTTGTCCCGGCGTTCCTGAGATAGATACACCCTGCACTCCCTCGTGTCTATGATGGCCCCCAGGTGCAACAGCCTTGTTGTGGGGACCATGTGACCCTTGGGGAAGTTTACCGAGAACCTGTGGTCCTGGAGCAGCTTTATCACTCGTTTTAGATCTGTCTTGGCGGACTGGATGGAAGATGACTGGATCAGGATGTCGTCCAGGTAACATTGGACCCTGACCGGAACCATCCTTAAATGAGCTGCCAGGACCGCCAGGATCTTGGTAAACACCCTGGGAGCCGATGAGAGACCCAAGGGCAGGGCCCTGTACTGGTAGTGTTGACCCTTGTAAGCAAACCGTAGGAACCGTCGGTGGGCGAGAGAGATGGGGATATGAAGGTATGCCTCCGTGAGGTCGATGGACGTCAGGAAGTCCCCTTTCCTTACGCTTCCTAAGATGGAGCGGAGCGTCTGCATCTTGAACTTGCGGTAAACAAGATGGTAATTCAAGCTCTTGAGATCCAAGATGGCTCTCCATCCCCCCAACATCTTGGGAACGACAAAGAAGATGGAATAAAATCCCCGACCTCTCTGGTCCACCGGGACCGGTTCTATGGCCCGTATGTTTAGCAGGTGTTGGACGGCTTCGCCCATCAGTCTTCTTCTTGTCTGATTTCGGGGGCATGGGCAAGAAATAAATCGATTTGGGGAATTGGAGATGAACTCCAGGTAGAGGCCGTAGCGTATGGTGTTGAGCACCCATGAGTCTGTGGTGGTCACCTCCCACTGGTGGGCAAAGAAAGAGAGTCTGCCCCCTATGGGAAGAACCGCCAGGGAGTCATCTGGAGCGACAGAATGGACGGCCGCTCCCTTGAAAGGGCCGCTTACTCTGAAACTGTTGCCTGGGCTTAACCGCCTGTCATACTGTTTCTCCTGTCTGTCCTGTCTGGTCAGGAAGGGACGGAAAGGCTGGGTGTAGTTATACCTAGTCCCAGGTCGAAAGGACTGTCAACGGGGAAAATAACTTTGGCGTTTTTCAGATTTTTTAAGGAGGTGGTTGAGGACTTTGCGCTTGTCCTTATTCTCAGTTAAATAAGGGGCCAAAGCCTCCCCAAATAGCTTACCTCCTTGGTACGGGGCCACTGACAGACGCCACTTAGATTTGGTGTCGGCGTGCCAGTGCTTGAGCCAAAGCATACGGCGACCAGTGATGCTGGATGCCATAGCCTTGGAAGCAAATCTGGTGGCTTGGAGAGTGGCATCCGATGCATATTCGATGGCCGCCACCATCTTGCTGAGGTCCTGGTGGGAGCGGACATCGTCCACTGGTGTCCGAGCTTGGAGCTGCTTAAGCCATCGATGGGCAGATCTATTAAAGAAGGATACGGAGGTGGCCGCCCTGATTGCCCATGCAGTTGCCTGGTGAGTTTTTCTGAATGCGAGCTCACACTTACGGTCCTCCACTTTGAGGGCCTCAGAGACATCTCCGGTTATGGCAGTGGGAGAAATTAAGGGACCGAAGGGTTCATCCACCGCGGGCACCTCGAGTGCCTCTTCCAAATCTTTGGCTACATTATAAAGCTTCTTATCAGTAGCACTTGGGAGGGGGAGGGAAGCCAGGGATGTCCATTGCTTCCGGATGGCAGTTAGGAACATGGGCGGGCAAGGGATGCGGTGTTGAGCTGCCACTGGTTCCGTGAAGTTAGGATCTAACTCCGAATCGGTGGAAACAGTGGCTGCTGTCAAGGGAGGCTCAGAGCCGAGGTGAGCTGTGGATGAAACCTTGTGGAGTAGAGTAACGAATGCAGAGGGATCGAACATTCCACTGAATGCAGGGGCATCGGGAGAAAGTTCCTCCTCCTCGGACATGGGGATCTCTTGCTCCATGCCCTGGTCATGGAGCGACAGATCCTCCTCAGAACATGAGGAGTCAGAAGGAAAGGAAGGTTCATAATAAGTCTCGGGAATCTGGTGAGGGACAGGAGGAGGGGCCGTAGCCAGTGGCCTAGATGGTATCACTCTGGCGTCTAGAGCGCGGTCACTGCCTGAGCAATTAATATGGCCAGACGATCCTCCGAGAGGAGCGTGGCAGATTCGGTCGGTCGCAGCCCTGCCGCTGTGGGAGTGAAAGTGGCCTCGGGCGTTCCGTGATGCGTCCATGCAGCTGAGGATTGGGGAACGTGGACAGTTCCGCTTGTCCCGTGCCGTACGGGAGAATGTGGGGACTCGATTGTTGACCATCCTCCCGGGGGAAAGATTGGGAACCCCAGGGGATTTTCATGTGCCAATCCCTCAGCCTGGGCCTCGCCTAACCTAGCCTTCTTTTGCGCCCTAGAAAAACTCTTTTTCTAAGACCAGGTGTCTCCGGTTGGCTTGCTTTTCTGCCCTCTTGGAGACCTTATTGGTAGATCTGACTTTGGTTTTGG